ACCCCTTGCATGCATCCCGGTTCGGTACAGTGCCACGTCAGCAGTGCCACGTCACAGTGCCAGATCAGCAGTGCCACGTCACAGTGCCAGGTCACAGTGCCATGTCAGCAGTGCCACGTCACAGTGCCAGGTCAGCAGTGCCATGTCAGCAGTGCCAGGTCACAGTGCCACGTCAGACACAGTGCCACGTAAGCAGTGCCACATCAGCAGTGCCACGTCAGACAGTGCCACGTAAGCAGTGCCACATCAGCAGTGCCAAGTAAGCAGTGCCACATCAGCAGTGCCACCTCAGACACAGTGCCACGTCAGCAGTGCCACGTCAGCAACATGATGGGCCTGCCAGGGCAACTGCCCAACGAGTCCCTTGCAGCCTACAAGCAGCGGTTCCAGGCTCAGATCGAGGCTGAGGAACAACGCCAGCTGGCAGCCGAGGCTGCCCGCGTACAGGCTGAAGAGGCAGCAGCAGATGAACAACTGCAGCTACAGGCCGATGCAGACGCAGATGCCCAGGCTCGCCGCAAGGAAGCCCAGGATCTGCTGCAGCGGCATGAAGCCAACAGCATCGACAGACTCAAGTTCTGGCACTTCGAACCGAACGGCGACGAGGCAACACCGGAAGAGAAGCACAAGGAGTTCCTCTCCAAACTCGTGACGTGGTTGTTGTATGCTTGCAACTACCAACGGTCAAAGTTGGAGAGACAGTACCAGGACCTGACGCAACAGCATCAGGAGTTGGCACAACTCCGCCACATAGTGCAGAGCCACGAGGATGCAACTCGGGCACTCAATGCCCGATTGCTGGACCTGGAACATGCTGTACCAGGACCAGCTGCTGGGGCTTCCAGCAGTGCACCCTCTAGCCGCCAACTGGAGGACCGTGTTGACCACGTAGTGGCAATGCTCGGCGACATCAGCACCTTCGCTGCGCCGACCACCACCATCAGCAGTCAGCTGCATACATTGAAGACCGAGGTCCAGCAGCTGCAGACGACGAACGBGGATGGCAATCYGAMGATGTATMAGATGCCAACYTTCAATCTSGAGAGGTTCGRYGACTACAYGCAGCAGGATCCGGTCCTCTGGTGGGAAGCATTCACAACGCAACTCAGGATTTTGCCGGTAGCCAAGCATGCGTACATCGGCACCCTGTTCCTAAACTCAAAGGGCGGATGCCAGACCTGGTTGAGCCACCTGGCAACCTCCCACGRCRTCGACGTACCARACTTGAAGGACMAAATCACATGGGAGGAACTGACACGGTTGTGGAAGAAGCGGTTCATCGTCGACGACGCGCCGACACTCGCCATCAACCGTTTGTTCACCATGTCACAGGGCAACACTGCAACACGGGATTGGCTCACAGAGTGGCAGAAGATTGCGGCAGTGCCCAATTTGGAGCTGCCTTTCACTCATCTCTGACGTGAGTTCTACAACAGATCCTGCGCTGCATTGAGCCAGGCTCTTGGTGATCGCGAGCAGTACTCCACGTTCGCCGAGATTATCGACAAGGCGAGAGAGATCATCAAGACCAACAGGTCAGCTGCACACGAGAAGTCACCATGGCAGCCGACCTATGTGGAGAAGGTACGAACTGGTCCACAACAGCAGCACTTCGCTGCAGTCCAGCAGAACAGTGGAGATAACCCAGCAGCCACTCCAACATCAAGTGACGGAGATCAGGTGGTTGCTGTCCAGCCGCGAAGCAACAACAAGTCCTGCAACAATGGGAAGGCGAAATCCGCATCGCAGGCCGGAAATGGACAGCCAGGACAATTTCCATGGGTCAAGTTTGGCTTGACCGAGGCGGAGTACAAGGTCCGCGGCCGCTACGGCAGCTGCTATTGGTGCAACAGCACCAAGCACAAGACCTCCCTGTGCCAAGATCAGGGCAAGGAGGATGTGCGACCCCGCCTCAGCTCGGGAAACTGAGCTCCGCGGAAGGTGAGGCGACTCCACCTTTTACTCCGCGAGATTCGGCCGCCTTGCTGGCGGCCTCCTGCACATCTGGGGAGGATGCGAATGTTGCAAGTCCTCGTTATACTTACGAGGATTATGCTGTCCACTTGGTTCCACCGCTGGACCAACCGCTCCAAGTGCAACAGTCCACCGCATGCACGGTTTCATCACCATCGGCAACCGATTCGGCAGCTTCGCGGCAATCTATCGCCGGGGATTGGACGTCATGGTCAAGACTTGAAGAGCTCGACCCGTTGACGTTCACGGACTTCTAGTGGATGCCCGTTCCCTCGACCGGACGATTGCCGAAACCGCATTGCAATGTGCTCATGGCACAATTGCGGGACTACTTGCACACTGCAGTACCAACTCCGTTGATGGACACCGGAGCAGAGGTTGTCGACCTTCACGTTTACATCGCAAAGATCGACCGCCGAGTTCAAGACGCAATGGTACGACGACATCGACGCACCATTGCTATACGTACGCATTTAGATCGGAGAGGCGACCTGCAGTGCCTTGATCGATTGCGGAGCATCTCGCAACTACATCAGCCAGGACTTCATGGTACGCGTCGGCCTTGGCCCACGCGTCCGGAGGAAGTCCCAGCCTACGCAAGTCACYCTGGCAGACGGTCATACGMACAAGWCCATCGACCGGTGCATTGACGYCGTCCCAGTGTACTTTGCCCCTCACGCAAGTGAGGCGGTGTCCTTTGACATTCTGGACACCAAATTCGACATGATCTTGGGCATGTCATGGATGCGAAGCAAGGATCACCCGGTGAACTTCTTCAACTGCACCGTTCACGTTCGTGATAGGAACGGAGTATTAGTTCCATGCACGGTGCCTCTTCCTCATCCTTCGATCAGCAGCCACGTGGTATCCGCCGCAAGCATGCGAGCTTCCATCATCAGAGACGACATTGAGGAGATGGGGGTCTGTTTTCTCCACGCCCTCCTGCCCCATGACGCTTCATCGACGGACTCACCTTCGGATCCACGCATCACCGAGCTTCTCGACGCTTACAGCGACGTATTCGAAGGCCCGCACGGAGTAGTACCGGATCGACCCATCCGCCACGAGATCATCCTCGAGGACGGGGCTGTACCTCCGCGCGGTTGCATCTACCGAATGAGCGAGGAAGAGTTAAGTGTGCTTCGGGCACAA